AACGTGAAGCTCAATCTGACGATGATGATTCATCAAAATCGCGTACTAAGAGAACGGATAGTGATAAACTGGTTGTAAAGCCGCAGTTGCTACCATCAATGATAAAAAACAAAGACAAAAGGTCGGCTGTATACGCCAAGATAAAGCATGAAAAGAAAGTAGAGAAGCGAAAGAATGCTAAGGCTCGTGAAGCTTTGGAGAGCAGAGCTCTTGAGCTTGGAGAGGAGGTTTATTTAATCCCTAATCTAGCCGTTTTACACTTTCTACCATATCTTCTTGAATTTAATAATGATGAGATTGTAATTAACATTATCATTAACGTTTCAGCTTCCACCAAAGAAGATTCCCCGAACAATTGAGAATACTAGAGAGGCTGATGAAACTGTATGCAAGCCTGATGATGAAGAGGTCTCCTATTCCTTCAAACTCTTCCCTATCTTTACATAGCATAATACTTAAAACTGTTTTCCATTGGTAGTTTTGTTATCAGCATCTGATTTTGATATATTATATATGTTATTGCAGCTTTTTGCAGGTAATGATGCTGATGAATTTAGCTCAATTTTAACCAGTGAACGAGCCCCAAAAGTACTGATGACAACTTGTCGTTTCAATTCAACTGTAGGTTCTCATGTTCACTTGTATTATTTATCATCTGTATAAGAAGTTGCTCTTGTTAGTTTGAAATATGTTTTGACTTTGAAGGGTATCTGATAGGGTTTGCAGAGTTTATTTATAAACAAGCTAATGTTATCTTACTATTTACTAATCATTTCTTGTAATCCGCCTTAACTACAGAGGGGACCCGCATTGATCAAAGATTTACTCACTATAATCCCCAATGCAGAGTACTACAAGAGAGGAACCTATGATTTGAAGAATGTAAGAACTACACACTCATTTTATCTTTCCTCAATCATTTTTCTTGAACATATATGTTTCTAAGATGTTTATCTTTATCCCCAATTTCCAGATTGTCGAATATGCAAACAACAAAGAATTTACATCTATCATTGTTGTCCATACCAGCCGTAGAGAACCAGGTTATTTATCATCTATCTTTCATTCATTCCTTAAATCTTTTAGTTTTGACTTATCATCTTTTTTACCTTTTCTTTTCTTATTCTTACCAACCTTGTTTGCTATTTATAGATGCTCTCTTGATAATTGGATTGCCCAATGGACCCACAGCCCATTTCAAGCTCTCAAATCTTGTCTTACACAAAGATCTCAAGGTGGAGAAAAATTAACTATAACATAGACTTTAGTATAACCTTTTTTGTCACAACTATTAACACATTTTTTTATATGTTATTGCAGAATCATGGAAACCCAACCAGTCATAAACCAGAGTTAGTTCTAAATAACTTCACTACACGCTTGGGTCATCGTGTTGGAAGGTTAATTCAGTCACTTTTTCCACAAGATCCTGAATTTCATGGAAGAAGAGTTGTCACTTTTCACAATCAGAGAGATTTTATATTCTTTCGTCATCATCGGTAAGCCATTTGGTATATATAACTTATACAAGTAGTGATAGCAAGATTAGCATCATATCATGATTTGTTACCAGTTATTTTGGAAGGAGGTTTTCTTCTTAAAGGTAAAAGGAACTTGTGTTGATTTGTAGGTATGTTTTTGAAACTAAAGAAAACAAACAAATTGATGCAAATGACAAAAGCAAGGATACTGAAGATGGGAAGAAGCAGCTAAAAGGGAAAATTATTGCTCGGCTGCAGGTATTTTCTTTCTTTCCATTCCATTTCAATGTGTTATAGCATTATACTTTCATTTAATTTCAATTTTTAAAGGGAAAATTTGAAAGTACATTGGTATAATTGGGCAGATTTCTGAACGTATTGCCCTTAATAAAAAGAAATTAAAAGTACAGTGTTGTTTGTTGCATGTAACCTTAAAAAAACAAAGGACATTTGCCATTGAGGTTGCTTTAACTGTCTTGTAATATTGTGCAGGAATGTGGGCCCCGTTTCACACTAAAATTAACAAGTTTACAACATGGAACCTTTGATACAAAAGGAGGGGAGTATGAGTGGGTTCACAAGGTATTATTAACTAATTTCACTAAATTTTTTGCATTCCATGGAATGGAATTGGAATTCGAGATTCCATTCCATTGACAGAATTCAATTCCCTTGGAATCCTTCAAATTTTGTTTTTGATGGATGTCATTCCAGTGGGAGGGCGGAAGGAGTTCAATTCTGTTCTTTTTTATACAAATGACTAAAATACCCTTGTATTATATATATATATATATATATATATATATATATATATATATATATATATATATATATATACACACACAATAAATTGAAAGTATTTAACTTGTGCCTTTTGTTGTATATTACAGCCGGAAATGGACACAAGCAGAAGAAGATTTTTCTTGTGATGTGGTTTTGAAACTGGAGCTTAAAATTGTTTACTTGTCATTAGTTTCTTTTATTTCACAATTTTGTTTGCAAGAGAAGGTAACTATGATATAGTTGTAAAAATTAATCTTTTGCCAAATTCTTAATCATTTTCTGTCGTTTATTTTTATTTATGGAAATTGAGTGTTGATTGATAGTTTGATATTGTTTAAAACGTCAAATTTTTAAAAAAAGATTATAAGCTATTTTTGGTTTGCTAAACATGATCACCTAAAATGTCAAAAAATAAGTTAGTTGTCACCTGCCGAACATAGCCTAACATAAAATACAATAAGCCAATTACCCAAAATGAAAAGTCACCAATTTAAACATCCAAGTAAGGGTGGTGCAAGTTCATCCATTGGAACGCTCCTAAAAAACAATAATTGAAATCCTAAAAAACGATAATTCATCCTAAAACGATAATTAAAATAAAATGAGAAATTCTAAAACTCCTAACCATAAAGCCTTGCTAGTTCTTACGTGTGAGCGAGCATCATATTCAACATTGATCATGTCAAATGGTCATACGGCCGAAGAAAGAAGCTGTTATCTAATCACTTTTCTTTTGTCATGCGCAACTCCTAATCCAAAGTCTATGGTTGCTTTTGCGAGATTATGATGGAAATTGAGCTTCCAAAAAGGCTATGTACGTATTTGCCTCGTATGCTTTCGTGTTTTTTGGGTTGAGGGGGATTCTCACTGCTTTTTCTTCGGTTTGAACCCGTATTTTTGGTTTTACCACAACCAGAATGCATTGGATATGGAATATGTAAGGTTGGAATGGAATAAAGAATGTTAGAATGAAATTGGTTAAGATTAGAAAGTTATGAAGGTTCCTTTCATTTTTTAATAGGTTTGTGAGTGGTTTGCATACAAAGTAAATTGGTTAAAGAAAAAGAAAAGTAGCCGTTGAATAACGGTCACGAGGAAAGAGAGAAGAAGATGGAGGTACTGATATGAAGACGGAGGCCAACCCGCTCCCACACTTAGGGTAGAGGTAGTCCATATTTTCCATCCCTACCAAGTCCCAATGAATTGCTACCTCAATTTTCTCTCTCTCTCACTTCTATCCCTCCCATTCCACAACATATGAAAACCTATATTTCTCATACATCATAACCTATTCAAACTTTTTTATGCTTTAAACTAAACTTAAAACCAAAAAATAAAAAATAACATTTTTTTATTAAAACATAAATTAGTACAAATAAAAGAAAAAGACAAAACAACAATTAAATCTAGACACAATAATTAAAAATCCTAAAACGATTACTAAATTCCTAAAATGAAATCCTAAAACTCCCAATCATATTTTGCCGCAATTTGTCGCATTTTCTCAAGCACCTTTCGCAGCAAACTGTTCATACGGATTGAGAAAAAAACTGAATATCTTGCTTCTTTATCTCACGTTCAAAGAGTTTAATTTTCAATTGTTTCGTTTGTCGCATGATGCGTAATTTTTCATCTCGATATTTTTTGAGGATGCTGATGTCGTTTTCTTTCCTTTCCGTTGTCTCGGGTCTTGACCGAATCCGGGATGAAAATGTGCATCCGAGATCACCTCTTCTTTTTCGCTCCATTTCTTTGACTTTTTTTTTTGTATAATCCCGTTCAGTTTCGGCGACAAATTTGAGATTGTTGCTTGTTTGTTCGTTTTGAACGGGACCGGGTTCGTCACTGTATTTTTTGGATTCTAAGTTTTGTGTTTCAGGAGAGAATCCATTCAGAAAATTGAATAAGAGATAATTGAATAAGATGTGAACGGATTTTATTTTATTTTATTTTTTTTAGTGATAAAAGGTTAGTATATATTTTCAAAGTATTTTGAGTTTTTGACCGTTCAACGGTCACAAGAGAGAAAGCCAAGCATATACCTCGCCTTGCTAAAGTCGGAGGTAGAGGCGTACCTGTAACCCGCCACAGCAATTGGACGACTCTGTCGGCGGTGGGGCCAAATTGAAATGAGATACAGAGAAGAAAACTGCGGTCAATCGTCTGCGTCTATATCTCGAATCTCGCAGCAAGATACGGATACGAGGGTTTCAGGTTAGTCTGTTTGCCTATTTGATTACTCTATCTAATTTAGGGTTTCTAGTAGTTTGTCTTGATGAAACTCCCAGGGTTGCGAATTTGACCTATGGCTGTTCGAATTATCATAATAACCTGTGCTTTTTTTTCTTTTTGTTTGTTCTTTGCGACTTGATGTTGTAAGAATCAAAATTTTGTTTGAAGGCAACGGTGAAAGCGTAATCAGAGCCCAACGAAATACTATACATTAGTTATCAATAGACACAAAATAGAAATTTCAACAAAATGTCAAGACACATAATTCCTATTTAAAATAATGATTCTTGGTTAGTCGATCTTGGATTGCCTCGTGGTTAAACAACATAAAATAAAGAATAAGGAAAGTCCAATAAATTACTGAAATCTTCAACTGTGTTCTTACTTTCTAGCTGTTACACCATAGAAACCTGATTTAAGAGATAAAGCGTTTCTTGAACTTCTTTTCAAGTCTTGATCAATGGATTTCTTTCAAAAAAGTTTGAAGGCTGTAACTCGAATCCATTAGATAACGTTGGCATCACTGGGAAATCTTCGGCTCCAAATAGCTAATCCATCTTTTCCTGTGCTCCTATCAGCATAAAACCCTGCAGTCCTATCTTCTTGACAGGGGTTGTGATGAAATCCCACAGTGTACCACAAAACTATATCTTTGTTCATAATCGATCTATTCCTGCAACACCAAAACACAATCTTTAATTCAAGAAACTTTACTTTAATTAAAAAAAGGGTTTAGGTTATTTTTGGTCACTTACTTTTGGTTTTGTGCTCATTTGGTCACTTAACTCTTTTTAAGTTTTAAAAGGTCATCAAACTTTTGGCTTTGTGCTCATTTAGTCACTTAACTTTTGGTTTGGTTACATTTAGTCACCTAACTTTTAAAATTATGCTCATTTAGTCACTAAACTTTTAAATTTTTTCAAAAGTTTAGTGACTAAATGAGCACAATTTTAAAAGTTAGGTGACTAAATGAGCACAAATCTAAAAGTTAAGTGACCAAACCAGAAGTTAAGTGACTAAATGAGCAAAAAGTCAAAAATTTGATGACCTTTTAAAACTTAAAAAGAGTTAAGTGACCAAATGAGCACAAAACCAAAAGTTAAGTGACAAAAAATGACCTAAACCCTTAAAAAAAATACAAAATTTTCCAAAAACGAAAAGAACCTTCGGCTCCAAATAGCTAATCCATCTTTTCCTGTGCTCCTATCAGCATAAAACCATGCAGCCCATCTCTAGGACTTATTATAACTAGTCACCCACACTTGATACTTAGTGTAAGAAGCTCTAATTTGTGGATAATCATCATCCAATAATAAAGAGACAGCTGGCTGCCCTGTCATCAACCGATACCCAACATCATTTCCCAATTTGGTCTTCTTATTTGTTTTCACCACTAAAAGTTTGGATGCCTTTAACTCGAGCCTAATTCTTGCTTCGTTTTCGGTTTTTGCAGTCTCCTTAACCACATTCCAGTAACTCTTCCTTGGAGATGTGTTGACTTTTTTGACTTCTAAGTTTGCTTTTACAAAAGAGTTTTCATCACCATCGATGTCAAGGTCGAGATAGTATGTTATGAAGTGATCATGGTTGTTTCCTATTCTGTTGGTGCTACTAGTGGTCCATAGGTTTCTTCTTTGATCTCTTCGGCTTTTGTGTATCTTGTTGCTTTCATTTCCAAAACGCCCGTAATTCCTACTTTCAAGATCAATATAATTTAAATTTAGATTAAATTTATTGGAAATTGGGAAAATTATATGTAACAAAATCTATAAGTTATGTACTACCAAGTATATGTCTATAAGACTATAATCATGCTTATAAAGGTCCGTTTTTTTTCTTTACCCATTAATTCCTGAATAGATAAATGATACCGAATATATAACGATATTTGTATAGATATAGTGTTGCTGATATACTGTTTCTTTTTTGAATGTCTGAATCTAAATATATGACTATTTTATCCTCATGTTTAAAATTGATAAACAACCGTTATAAATTAAAATTGTATATTTTCACATTAAAAAACTAAAAAAATAACATGATTAGTAACTTAAATTGAACATAATTTTAAAGTAAGTTCAAATAGTAAAATTAATTTCTAACAATTAAAATTTACATACATAATGGGGAAACAAAAATAACCTGCACATGAAATTTGTATGATATTTACACATTTTAATAGCGAGTAACTCAATATATAAGCATAAAAATATACTCAGTTACTCATAATTTTCAATATAAATGTGATTTGGAGAAAATAATAGCAATTCAGGAAAACTAAATATAAAATCATGACGATTAAGGGCACTAAGTTTTTTATACATTAATCCATTAAATCAAAAAGAGTTTTTGCCATCCTACTTGTTGCATACATGCACACTAGGATGTGAGACTTGTAAGTCCCAAAACACTTAGATCAATACGATATCAATCAGATAGTGATTCAAGCCTTAACATGCCCAAGCCCAAACTGCCCGAATCACTATGTGATTTCGGTCCCCATAAACGAAAACACCATAAGCCCACTACCAATAAACATAACTACCCCAAGTACAATAAACAAGAATCCATTTAAATATGACCCAACAATCTCCCCCTTGTTGGTTTATTGCTGGCTGATTTTACGGCTTCTCCACAAGATGAATATCAGAATCTGCCAATGCCCACAGCCTCTTATCAATGATTGTCGCTATCATGCCGGTGAAAACCTTTGCAGTAGCTTCAAACATTTCATTTCCACCATAAGCTGATGCTTGCATAAAGTATGAATGTCATGCTCGCCAAATTTCAGCAAATCCTTAGGATCAACAAGACGAATCTGATCCTTTTTCATCTTGATTACCACAGTCGTTGTAGCCTCATCATATACCCAATATAGTAAGTCATTCAAAGAGCCATCAGTACACGCTGAGTGATAGGGATTCTTTTCGCTTTATTTGTAGGTGGCCACATAACATTCACCATAGTCTTGTTGGTGCGTGGATCAATAACACCCTTGACCTTTTTAACGAACGATGACGCTGTTTTCAAGCCTTCAAAGTTCTGCTTCGCTTTGTCTTCTAGGAACTTCTTAAATGCCCATGCCTTGGGGTCATTTGTTGGATTGTGGAAGAGTGCGTGGACCAGCTCTGCAAGATCAACTTTTGTCCAAGACACAAAGTCGACCTTCTTCGCATAGTACTCAATGTTTCCGCTCCTGCTTTACAATCCACATCTTCTTATCAGCTTCTTATCCCCACATAAGAATTCCAGAATGATCACCATATCTATCATCAAATTTTCTCTTTCCAATTTCTTTAATAAACATGTCACACCCCCAAACCAGAATGGCGGAATCGTTCGAGGGCGGATGACTTTATGTAGTATCATAACAGTTGAGTAAATAGTAAAGAAAGCAAACACAACCATCATAATTATAATTTAAAAAGTTACAATACATGTTTCAAAAGAAATTACATTATGGTGATGAAAGTACTTTTTAGCCTTTACGAAGTTGGCAGCGGGAGTGGGACGAGAGCTCGGCTGCGAGTATCTCCCTTTCAGTGACCTGGGACAGGAGACGATTTTATGAGGTTGCCTTGTTGGCATGCTCAGTGGTCATAGCGCCTTTGATTGAAATTCCATTTGCACCCGTCTCCTTCGGGGATCCATTAAAGGGATTGGAGTGGAATTTCCATTCCACCTATCCGCACCCTATCTCGCTGAAATTTAGATATGTGACTCCGGAAACACATTTTAAAATACGCCTGTGAGCGCAACTCTTTTTGGAACGGTACAAGCAGACCACTTAAGCAGATACCTAGACTTCATCGGAATCAGAACAAACTGAAGGAACGAGACAGCACCAGATCAACTTTAAAGAGCAAGCAAGAACCACTGAAAGAGGCCGCTATAAGAGCCAGCAAAGCTACTCATGCACCTGGAGCGAGCCACCTGGCGATTGAGGGGCAATCATATGCTTCTGTTAAAAAATTATCCTCTCATCGATGTTATACCGAACTGAACTAATAAAAGTTTCTCATTTAGAAAGAATGGCGAAAGAGGCCTCCTTGCATTGCCCAACTAGAGCGAAAAGCCTTATTGCGTTGCGGCCCTAAGTAGCTATGGGGTGTTGATGTACTTGGAACCCAGACCGGTTATCTGAGTATGGCGGTTCGGTAGCCGTTCAATGATAGCATGAGATCCTCGCTTCGGTAAGTTACAAGGATGAATGCAAATAGCAAGGCGGTGTGCTGTGTGAAGTGAGACTGGCTGCCCTAAGTTAAGTGCTTCCTTATTAATATTAATTAATGATCTTGCTTAGTAGGAGGGCTTTCCCCCTTCTGTGCATCCTGATTCTCTCTCTGGAAATGAGGGTGCCCTCGATTGACATTTATCATCGAATAAGGAATCATTCCATGGATGAGAAGGTTGAGTTACAGTACAGACTCCGTTGGCTTTTGCAAGGAAGCATCTCGAAAGTTCCGCAATGTTGATGCCTCACTTGAACTCTATCCTATACCCTAATGCTGAAGCTACTCTGCCTCTCGGAACCCAAAAAGAAAGTCGGGCGATTGGGAAGCTATGCAAAACCTGAAAAAAGGAATCTGCTTTCCATCTTTGAGCTCAGAGGTTATGATCGTCTCCTCATTAGGCTATTTTTAAAAAAGTATAGCTGACTCATCAGCTGAGTGGTTCGCCTCTTGTCCACCTGAGTTGTTTACTTCATTTTCCGACCTGGAAAACCAATGACTCTTCAGGTTAGGTTCTCTTTCAACATAGACATCCCGATGACCATGGATCAACTTCGTTCCATGAAACAGAAAGAAAATGAAATCTTCCTCTTAGGGCGTTCGATTCCGCGAAATGGCGACCCGTTTTGCCGGAGTATTCCGCTGTGGCTAGCATTGTTAGGAATGCTTCTGATCATCTTAGGCCATTCTTGATGATGGACCCTCCGACAACTTTAGAAGCCTTGGTTCGTAAGGGCTCTTATCTTGAACTAACGCTTTGATCTCGGCTTCTAGATCCATATCCTTTCACATCAAGAGTACCCGCGCGTCTCAAACCCACCTTTATCCCAACAACCCCATGATGAACAGAGAGGAACCCGATGAGGGAAGTGGGACAATGTTCAGACCTTGGCTGTCACAACAAGCAACCAATCAGTTCCAGTCCCAAGGGCGGGTAAAACGAGGCCTCGACGGATGGGAACTCCTACTCTGACTATAGTTTTGCAATCTCTAAGAGGGATTTTAAGTCATCTATCCTTTATCTTTCCCTAGCGAGTGAAGAAAGAGTGGATGTTTTGAACGAGTGTTGAACGAGTGTTGGGCGCTTTAACCATTAAGCCATGGATGCAAAGAGACTCAACGAGTGAACTAGGTTTTGGTATTCCTTCTTGAGCTTCTATTTCTTCCGTTAAAGGAGATTCGAGAAAAGATGGAATAAGAAGACGTGTTTTCAGAACGAACAAGATACGATTTGAGAAGGGGGAGTTAGCAAAGTTAGACAAGATTGGAATGGGCATAGGAACATGTATTGATGTACCATATCGGCTAATGCTCCCAGGTTGATGCGATGTATTCCACCAGTTGACTGAAGACTTGATTATTGGTATATCGATCGGTCCAACACGGATTGAAATAGGAGCCGGTTCGATAGGAAGCTTTTGAAAACGCAGTGCACCCATGTAAATAAGGAACGAGATTAATACAGAGGTTAAACGAGCATCCCACACCCAAAAGGTGCCTCACATAGGTCTTCCCCGAAACCCCCCAGTAACTAAGGTAAACAACGTAGAAAAAGCACCCATTTCTGTACCGGTTCCGAAAGAGCGAAGAAAGAGGGGATGTTTTGTTAATAGGAACAAGAACGTGTTTATAGCCGTAGCGATATAAACAAGAATACTCATCCGAGCCGCAGGAACGTGTACATAAGGAATACGAGAATTTCCACCTTGTTGAAGGTCTAGTGGTGCTACCCGAAGACTTAAATGAATAGCCATCGCTGTTAAGAACAACCGAGATCCAATGAAAATTTTCGCGTAGCTTCTGGTCTTTGACATCAAAAAAGAAGGTTGTAATAATGCAAGGGACATCTTATAAGGTCCTTTGTTTCCAAATAGAAAGACACCAAATTCTCCGGGAAGCCCTATCTTTCGAAGGACTTATCGATTTGCTCCCCCTGACGACCCCCCTACCCGCTGGACCACCCCTTCTCTCTCTCGCGACCGACCCCTTGTTAGTTCGTAGAGCCGACGCTGGGCGGCCAACCTCATGGATCACACATCTGGTCCCTCTCCCGTCGGGCGAGAGCTTTCAATAAAGCATCTCTCGCTTGGAAAGTAGGAACCGGTCTGCTTTGGAGATCCCGCAGAAGTTCCCGGATCTTCAAAAGCTTCGCGGGGGACGCGACATCTAGTTGTAGCTTAATCTTAGTATTTTGGAGTACACTTGAGGTCACTCCCCTATTTCCAAAGGAAGAAAGAAAAGAGGAAAGCTCCCTTTCTATTTCCTCTGCTGTTGGTCCCGACGGACGCAGAGTTAAGTCCAAATCGAGTTGGGGATTTCAGGAACCCTCCTCTCCTGCACATTCTGCGTGTTCGACCAACCACTCAGAGCAAAGGTCAAGAAGACAACACAGAGTGGAAATGGTCCAAGTGATCCCAGGTACCCATGAATTCCTACACTTATTATAGTGGAAATGCCATAAAGCGCGAACCAAGATCCGTGAGACGAAAACCAAAACCAAGACAAGTAATAACAGGAGATCATCGTAGATGTTTAAGTCTAAATCGAACACTAAATAATAAAAGAATTGAAAACACCACTTGAGAAGCTTTACTTCTAGCAAAGTTGCTAAAATAGTAAAAATAAGGACTTAAAATGAAACCAAAAAGGAAGCCATGATTTTATTATATATCTTTGTCATTCGCTCCTTGCTCGCGTAGCGACATACCGAAAAAAAGATAGGATTTGAATCGATGACTTAAGCCCTTGCGCTATTCCCCCCTGATCGCATCGTAGATAGCAGTCAGAGTCAGTACGCTTTCTATTCTCTTTCGAAAGTGAGATCACCATCGGCTTGTTTTGTTGAAATCGAGAAAGGTCACTCCTAAAAGCAACCTTTCTCTTATATACGATAAGACGAAAAGCATTTAGTTCGATCGAGTTCTATCTATATCTATCTTCAAATCACATAAAATGGAAAGAAGACCGCTTTTTCCAGCTAAGCGAGTGCCTTTACTAGAGAGTGATTACTAAACTTAGTCTATCAAAATACAAGCGAAAGCTTGAAGAAAAGATAAAATGCGAACTTTCGCGCCTTCGAAAAGGCTTTAATTAAAGTGGATTTCGGGAATGAGTGCGTCCTCTTAGCTTTTAACTTGTCGCTATCTCAATCACTGAATTCAATTTTCATTTTTTTGATTGTACGGGTGCTGAGGGGCTTCTATATAAAGCGAAAGCCCTCCGGACAGAGGGAATGGAACCCACGCATCTCTGTTGACTTCATAACTACCTTGTTATCTTTAAAGCTTTCCTGAATTCTGTCTGTCACGTATGGAATTGTAGTCTTTGGATGAACTACGTCTTCGTGCTGCGGCAAATATTTCTCTGTATCAGGTACGCATCACAAGAGCATATGAAACAAAAAAAAGTAAACCGTCTTCTTTTTCTGCCCTCAGTCTGACTAACCTTTCTCTGTTCTGCATGAGAAAAGGTTATCAAAAGGTACTTTCGAAGGATATCGGGACTCAATTCAATTTAGTACCACCCTTCCCGCCAGTCCGCCCTTCCCCGAGTCTTTCTCTTTCTTTTGGAGTGAAAACAGTAATGGAAATGAGTCATTTCACGGATAATGCTTACCAAGGAAAAATATACTTTAGTTCAGCCTTACCCAGTTCTTTCTATTTCTCCCTTATTCGGATAGAATCCGAGCTATTTAACAGAGGAACGTAAGCCAACTCCCAACTCTCATTAGCGAAGCGTTAGTAGCAATCTTTCTATCAATTACTTTCCTTGCCATCTTGATTGCCGCTCCGCACCTTACCTTTCTTTCCGGAAAAGAATTGAACCCTCACTCATCCCATCTCCCCTTCCTCCAACTGCGCTTAGACCGACAGTGTCAAGAGCTTCTTCTTTGTTCACAGCTTGAGCGGATTCGATTCCAAACCTTTTTTTTTTGAGTAACTATAGTGATTCCTTCCCTTTCTCTTCCTTCTTTCCCAGAGCTACTGGCTCATTTCACTCTCTTTAAATAAGACCGGGAGTCACTCGCTTCCTAAAGCATAGGAAAGAGAGAAGATCTCTTATTTATGCCCACTCTTCAAAATTGAATTTCCCTTCTTCTAAGAGCTAAATCGATGGCACTTGGGATCCTTCCCTAAACTAAAGAATTTACTTACCTTGCGCCGGTATCATTTAGCTTGAGCCGGGAACTCGTGTTTACCTTGATACAGGTATTCTTTATTATAGATATCACCGTTCAAGCGGAAGATTTGTTCACAGCCGAGTCTGTCCAAGAGCAAGGTAAGCATTCAAAGCAAAAGCAGTCTCCTTTCACGACCACTTTTCAGTATCAATGAGTGCTGCGGGAACAACAACCTTTTCTTCTTCTGAGTACCACTCTTGGGAAGAACATCCTTCCGCTAGCCTTAAAGCACCTAGCTCCTTAACCTTCCTCGTACTAGTGGATGAAAGACCTCGTCTGGGCAACCTATTTGCATCCTGTGCTGGTAGCACCAGTTCGCATCTGGCTATTCCACTTCATATAGCAATTAATGGCATTCTCCAGTCCAATCCGATTCTACATGAATCGCATTCTCCAATCCGATTGTGCATGAATTGCTTTCTTTTCTCCAGTCCAATCCGATTCTGAAAAGACTGAGCACAACCTTTTGGTTGCCTCTCCATCGGGGAAATCCAGCCTTTATAGTTCAACTAGCCTATTAGGCGCTGTGTAAGAGCTCTATGCTATATATGGAATAGCGGTAAGTGCTGCTTGATTGACTGCTTTAAAGTTTGAAACAAGTCTTGGATTCAGAAGAGAAGTAGGCGTAGAGGATATTGAGAAAGATAGTTAACTGCTTGCTAACTGCTTTAGGTTTAGGAGTGTCGGCTCCAGGCTAGAGAAAAGATTGGCTATTACTGAAGCGACATTTTTGCCTAGAGGCATTTCTGATCATTGCCCTTGTATTGTTAGATCTAGCATTTAGTTTAGAAAGGTCAATATACCCTTTAAGTTCTTTCATTTCTGGGCGAAGGTTGAGGAATTTTTCAGGTATACCCACATCAAGATGTTCCTGAACAGTCTCGGGGAAGGCCACCAGCACCCCGACGAATGTCCCGTAGCAGCACCATGCAAGTCTTTGTTCCTCTTAGAAGCACCATCCCTATTTTTTTTTATTTGAACGGAAGGAAATTCCCAAGCAAGAAACTTGGTTACCTACATACTTGGCTCCGTTTTCTTCGAATAGAAAGCAGAGACATCAATTTAAACATCGTTAGCAATCCTCCGGTTAGGATCATGAGGGAGAATAAAGTCTCCATCAAAAACAGCTCGACACCTCCAAACCCAAATATTCCATGCTATCGCACATAAGGTCGTACGCCACTGGCAATCAAAACCAAACTTAAGATCTTTACAAGAAGCATTGCTGCATAACCAATCCGTGAATGCCAAGGAGTAGAAGGCACTTTGATGCTCAATGGGAATAAAGATGTTCCAGATCAATTTAGCAAAGTGACACTCACGCAAAACATGTAAACAATCCTAAAAGGTGTCCACATCTAGAACATCTGCTAGTCCCCGAAAATGCCTCTCCCGTCCCGTCCTTCTCTCTTGACATGGAACCCGCGGATGTTAGGCCCCCCCTCCCCCACCCGAACCGCGTCACCAAAGCGGCTCCTTTTTGGTAGAAGATAGGTCAAAAACCTATGTCAGTTCGAATCTGACGAGTCGTTCGTTGATTCGTGTGAAGAATAGATCTCGTTACTCAGGATTTCTTGATCTCAGTCGATTTGATGCGTCATAGATAGATAATCGACCCCTTTCTACTCACCACCTCAAGCCAAAGGGTCTTTTTCCTTCGCCTGACTTCCCGAGTAGAGACTTTAAACCAAAGAAGTAGGGATGTTAATCTCATTCCTTTTGCTTGAATGTGAAAGTTGTACGATTTGGTTCTATCTCTAGGAATTTACTACCGGTGGTGGTTGAGAACTAAGAACCTCTCCTATTGGAAGGAATCTGTACCACTCATTTTTCCGGGGTATGGAACAACCTCGGGCAGGAAGGGGCTCAATATTGGTAACCTCCCAGACCCTTCACAGACCGTCCATGAGCGTCAAAGAACTCTGGACTTTGAGCCTTAGAAAAACCTATGGCGGGACAGATAGACATCAGGGAATCTTTCTTTATTTTAGATTTTTTTGTTAAAAAAATGATTTAGATGAAGTGAGTGTGATATACTCTTATGTTCTCTCTACTTGCTTCGGCGACGAGGCAGCAACCAAGGATGAGTAAAGCCGTCAGCTTATAATGCTTCTTCTGCTTCCATTCCTTGGTTCTCTGGGGTTAATTGCCTAGCCTGTCCCAGCCCTTAGAACACGACAGTTTCGTTTAATTTTCACGGACCTTCTTCAAACTGGCCTTTGGGCTTGGGCAAGCGGGGCCTATTGGGTAGAACATAAA